GAAGGCAGGGGGTTCAGGAGAGAGTTGGGTGGGGAAGCGGGGGGCAGAGGGAATAGTGGGGGGGGGAGGAACCAGGCGCAGCAGGGGGCTCAGGAGAGAGCTGGGGGGGGGGCAGTGGGGGTGGGCAGAACTAAGTGGTGGGGGGTTGGGGGTTGGTTTGGGTTTTTTTTTTTTTTTTTTGAAAGATAGAAGAAACTTTTTCATCTCTGAAGGTAGAGGGAGGGAACAGTGGGGAGGGAATGTGGATTTAAAGATACAAGAGACAGAAGCTGCCAGAGGGGTCACAATCCTAAGGACGGTAGCAAGATGGAGGCAAGGGGGCAGGGTAGAGGGGGTGGTATGAGAAATAAGAAATAGAGTCCATTGAGATTGGCATGAAGGGGGAAGATGTGAGAAGAGGCACCTCATGTGTGTCACACACACACACACACATATACACGTACATGCATGCACACAGGCATGGGTAGGGACTGGGCCTGAGATTGCCTCGGGTGGCCACGGGGAGACTCCCTCTCCCCAGGCTCAGCCTCTACTACCTCTAGTCTTAGAAAGAGCTGCCTAGAGCTATGATATCAGACGCCAGTGGCCACATATTGACTTAGAAAACCACAAATTAACATTATCTACAATATAGTATGTGTTTATTTTGTTAAACAATTCCCATTTGACATTTGAAACTGGCTCCCCCCTTCATGGCCTGAGTTTGACTTGATGGTGCCTTTGGTCTCAAGGACTAAAAGGTAGAGTGACCTGTGCCAGTATGTCAGAGGCAGAGCCTAGCCTGGGCTTTCTGTCCGCTACATCCTTATGGCAGAGTCCCATTGGGAATGTCGGGAGGTGCTAGGGTTCTAACAGTTCTTCACAGGGCTCTGTCAAGGATGGGGCTGGGGTAGAATATAGTTGGACAGCGGGAAGGATGTTTTGAGATCATCTAGTTCAACCTCCTGATTCTACCGAGGAAGAAACTGAGCCCCAAAGAGGAGAATGGCCTTAGGGTCCTGGAAAGTCCCAGGCACAAGGGAACTTCAAGGTCATCTGGATAAGCCCCAACCTAGCTTTCCAGACTGATTTCCCATCATCCACCCTCCCTCTCCATTCCCACTGTTATCTTCTACACATCATTTAGGCTCTCACCTTTTTGACTTTGCGTAGACTAACCCCCACATCCCTGGAATGTTCTGCTTCCTTGCCTGCAGCCCTTGAAATCTCTCTTTCTTCAGAGTTCTGCTCTGCTCCTCTTAGGTGAGGCCTTTCCTGATCTGCCCCCAAATTCCTACACCTTTATTTTGTCTATAGATTATACTTATTTCTTCATAGCCCACGTGCTTTTACGGAATCTAGTCCAGCCCCTCAATTTTACAGAGCAAACTGAGGTCCAGCCCAGGCAACAGATTGGTCCCAAGTTGTCACAGAACCTCCACTAGAACCCAGGGCCTCGCCATGGCCCTTTGGACAGCAAGACTAGACTTCTTCTTGGGGGGCTCCCTCTCATTGGGCACGAGCAGATAGAATGCTCAGGGTTCAGTGAACAACTTGTGCAGCCCTTTGGCCGTGAGAGAGCCCTTCCAGTTCTAGGCTGGACCTCCCCATTTCCTTCAACCCCTAAAAGAGGAAGCTCTCTGAAGGCAGGCTGTTTCTCTTTTTCTTGTATGCCCAGCACCTAGCACTGGGCCTGTCCTAAAGCAGGGCTTTAACTGGGGCACGATCTTCAAGCCCTTCAACCCAGAATGTGGCACACCCATGGGCTCGCTTTCAAACGGCCACGGCCCTTCACATGGGACCCGAGCAGGGCTGGGGCCAGAGGGATGGCTGCCTGACTGGCTGCCCAAGCCTCATTAAGGAGCATTTGGGGCCACCCATCATGGAGCTTACAGTCTGGTCAAACCTCCCTTGAGGTCTCTTGCTGCTCTTTCTTCCCAGAGGATGGGAGACCTGGCCAGGGTAGCCAGCTGACTGCCTCTTTCAGGGGCTGCTTTTGTCTAAGAGATTTTGATTTTATTTTTCCAACAAGGACGGGTCATGGAGAAATCTCAATGGCCAAGAGCTACTGCCTTTTCCATCATAAATCTGAGTTGCCGTAGCGTTTGCCCATGGATGCTAGACCTGGGTGCTGGCTGCATTTAACTACCTTTAAGTATAAACTCCTGGCTTCCCATAAGTCCCAACTAAAATCCCATTTTCTACAGGAAGCCCTTTCCAGCCCCTCTTAATGCTAGTGGCTTCCTTCTGGTAGTTATCTCTTATTTAGCCACTAGTTAGAGAGCTTGTTTGTAAATATTTGCTTGTTATCTCACCCATTAGACTATGAGCTCCTTGAGGAAAGGGACTGTCTTTTGCCTCTTTTTGTATCTCCAGCATTTAGCATAGTGCTTGACACATAGTAGGTGCTTAATAAATGTTTATTGCCTGACTAGCTGCTGTAAGCCTTTGGGAACAAGGGTTAGCATTCTCTGTGGGTGTGGCAACTCCTCCCGAACAATCGGTCAGTCTCGGAGCATTTCACAAGGACCTGGGGTGGGGGGGAGCAGAGGGGGAATGAAGAACTCCCCTTGCCCATCTCATCACAATCACATACATGCACACCCCAATAGCAACAATTAAGTGCATTGGCATTCTCCGAGTACCTGCAGGCTTGCAAATAGGTTTACAGAATGTCTTTGGTCCCTGGTGTTGGGTGTTTTGGCTTTGTGACCTTGGACAAAGCCCTTCTCTCTCTGGCCCTCAGTTTCCCCCCTCTGTAACATGAGGGAGGGTTGGGAAGGATGACCTCTGAGGACCCTTCCAGTTGATCAAACAGAACCTCTGTTTATGGAAGGAGAGGGGAGGGGGTACCTGGTATGTGTTGTTATTGGGGAACCTCCTAGAAAAAATCTGAGTTGGTGTGAAACACCTGGGCTGGTAAATCTTTGGAACTTGTTTACAAGACTGGATTAAACCAGGGCCCCAGTGACAGGGACTAGTCATAGAGCTAAGGAGAGGACTCACCAGTCCTTCTGAGCCCCAAGGCTGGTACGGAAACCTCCTGCGCCTTCCTCCATGTAAGTCCCTGGTGGAGTGTTGCTTAAGACGCTACCACATTCAGGCCATCTTCCTGGATTCCTTGTAGTTTGACACCTGTACCCATCACCATTGAGGGGTTAGCTTGTGCCCAGTTTCCACTGAATAGGCATATGCAGTGCCCATCAGAAAGTATAACTTGCGTTGACTTCTTGGCTGGCTCTTTCTGTTGAACCTTTTTTTCTTCTTTTTGGACTCATTTGTGTCTAAGCAGGGAATCTCTCAAGAGACCTGATGGCAAATTTTTCCAACTTGAAGGGGAAGGTGTGCATTAGGAAGGGCTTGGCAGGCTCTTTGGTGAGGATCGAGGACCTGCGGGGAGGCCCACAGGCCTGTTTAAAAACAAGATTGGCTAATTTAAAATATTGCTCTCAGTTCCCAATGACTTCCCTTCACTGAAAGCTCCCTCATAATAAAGACATGCAGTTAGACAGAAGAGATCAATCCATTGGCCGTACCTGAAAATGTTTGCTTTATTCCATACCTGTAGTGTACCACCTCTGTTGACTCAAAGGAAGGGGGCGTGCTTCGTGTCAGGGCTCTAAGACGAGAATTCCCCCCATCCCCCAAATCTTGTGTCTCTGAGCCTTCTTGGCCTCCTTCAGTCAGGCGCTAGATACAAGATGTTGTTTTGTACCTCCTGGGAACTTTTTGAAAGCCTCAGGACAAAAGATAGGAGATCAGTATCCAGTGTTATCAATTGGGCTCTGCATGCTCATCCCGTGACAGAGCAGGTTAACTTGAGAGAAGCTGAGGCAGTGTGCTGGGGAGCCAGTTGGCTGCCTTAGCCAGCCTCCTGGGCCTGCAGCCTCAGCCGGGCCTCCCACCTCCTCAGGAGGAGGCCAGAACAGCCTTGGGAGTAACTGAGCTCACCTTCCCCTCTGGTTTTGAGATCTCCCATGCAAGGAGCTGCCCCTCCCCCAACTTCTCAGCATTTCTTTTGTGTTGAATGGAGGAGGCCTTGTGGCTGGGGCATCTGAAGCAGGAGCGTCCTCTCCCAGAATGCCTAGCCTGGCCAGATGCACCTGGGAAAGCCCAGCCTAGTCTGGGTGGAAGTGATTGGAGACCTGGATTTGAGCAGATGCTCCTTAATCTAGGTGATTGTGGGCAAGTCATTCACCTTCCCAAGTGCCAATCTTCTGTAAAAAAAGCAATAGCTGGTTAACACTCTCAGGGTTGTTGCGATGCGAGCACCTTGGAAACCTTAAAAAGAAAAGGCCAGAGAAATGAGGAGTGTGTGTGTGTGTGTGTGTGCACATGTGTGTGTACAGGTATGTGCAAATGTGTGTGGGAGGGAAGGAGAGACAGAATGAAGGAGAGGTATGTATGTATGTATGTATGTGAGAGAGATGGAGAATATGGGAGTCATCAGAGTATAGATGTAAGAAAGAGGCCTAAATGGCGATGAAAAATGGGGTACAAGCCCTGGTTTCTGGGAATGTGGTAAAGGGAAGAGCTACCCAATGGAAAGGCCCTCAAACTCTTGGCCCAAGAACTTGCCAGAAAGCTAAGGTGAGCAAAGCTGCCTCTTGTCCTGGTATTTGCTGAATTCATAGGAGCATAGATTTGGGGGTTGCCAAGGCCCTTTGTTTCACAGACTAGGAAGTGGGAAACATGCCTCTTTGGGGGCCCTGCTTCTGCCCCACTTCTCCTTGAGGTTTTCTGAGCCATACTGCGAGGGAGGCAGGCTTGAGGGGACACAGATCTCTGGGATCTCTGAATACAGGGACCCAGGGCTGGCAACATGGGGGTGAGCACAGGGCTGCTGGGATTCCTGGGGAGTGGATCTACACTTGGGAGCCATCCTAGCAGTTTCTGGCCATGGTTTCCCCACACACGCACACCTGGGAGAGGCCTACTTGATCCCAGAGGCAGGGCTGGCTTGGGCTCGGTGGCTAACCCAGCCTTTTCCCTTCCTGCCCCTTCCCATCCCTCATGTTCAGCTTAAGAAGAAACAAGTGTATGTGGAGAAGGTGGAGAAGATGCAGCAGGCTCTGATGCAGCTGCAGGCTGCCTGCGAGAAACGGGAACAGCTGGAGAACCGCCTCCGGGCCCGCCTGGAGAGAGAGCTGGAGTCTCTGCGTATGCAGCAGGTGAGATTGAGCCAGGGCTGCTATGGGGGTTTGCTTCAGGTGAGACCCGAGGCCTCGAGGAGTAGCTTCCCTCCCACAATCTGGGTTACTGGGCCATGCTCCCTCACTCCCAGTGCATGCCAGTGGGCGGCTTCTCTGAAGGCAGAGAAAAGCCCAGGGTCTGCCATCTCGCTTTCCTGTGCCCAGAGCGGCCCCAGTAATGGATACTCAGGCACCAGCTCCAAGGAGCCCAGTACCGGTGTCACCTACCTACCACCCCTAGAAACCTGTAAGGGACCTTTGAGTGCATGTAGACTTCAGCCCTTCATTTTGCAGAGAAGCAAACTGAGGCCCAGAGCGGTGAAGGGTCTTACCCAAGGTCATACAGTGAATTATGGCAGAGCTGGATCTAGGCCGCAAATCTGCTGACACCCACCACCCCTCTCTCCCTGCAATCATTGTTTGCCCACTATCTCTCCATAGTAGAAATACCAATGAATAGTGGCGGGGGGTGGTGGTGGTGGAAAGAGTTCTAGATCTGGACTCAGAGGATCCGGGTTTAAATCCTGCCTCTGCCAATTTCTATCTCCCTGTGTGGCCTTAGGCAAGTGCCTTCCCTTCTCTGGGCTCAGTTTCTCCTTCTAAAATAAGGGTGTTGGGCCAGATGGCCTCGAAGGTCCCTTGCAGCTCAGTCTTGGTGCATGTGACAAAGGCTGTTTTTCTTCTGAGGGTCCATTTCGGTGGGGTGGCCTTGGGAAGTCTTTGGCGCCCTTGCCCCTGCCCTTTGTCAAACAAGGGCTGGCCCTGATCTGGGGGATTTGTGCCATCAGCGTCAAAGCACCTCGCAGGCCACCAACCTCTCAGAGTATAGTGCCTCAGCCCTCATGGAACTCCTTCGGGAGAAGGAAGAACGCATCCTGGCTCTGGAGGCCGACATGACCAAGTGGGAGCAGAAGTACTTGGAGGAGACGGTGATGAGGCAGTTTGCGTTGGAGACCGCAGCCACAGTGGCCGCACAGAGGTAAGAAAGGAGGGGACCCCGTGGGTCGCCCCCTGCCATGCAGCCCTTGGAAGGGCCAGGAGGATTTTCCAGTGGGTGGTTTGTGCCCTATTCCCTCCCCTTTGGGTTAGCCATCCATCCTGGGCCTCCAATCTCATTCCCATCAAAGCAGCCTGCTGGCTGTTCCAAGCCACTTGACATTCTTCTTCCTACCTCAGTGCCTTTGTGTAGGCTGAGCCTCATACCTGGAGTGCCCTCCGTGCTCACTACCACCTCCCAGAAGCCTTAGCTTCCTTCCTTAGCATAGCTCTGGCACCTCCTTCTACTTTAGGTTTTTCTTGAGCCTCCAAGTTGTTAGTGTTTGCACCCTCTTGAGATTACTTTTCATTACTTTGTGTAATTGGGGGGAGGATAAACATTAATTAAGCACCTATGGTATACCAGGCACTGTGCAAAGTGCTTTACAATTATTATCTCATTTGATCCCCACAACAACCCTGGGAGATAGGTGCTGTTATTACCCCCATTTTACAGTTGAAGAGACTGAGACGAATAGAGGTCGTGTGATTTGCCTGAGGTTATACAGCTAGTGAGTGTCTGAGACTGGATGTGACCTCCTGACTCTGAGCCCAGCACTCTATCCACTGTGCCACCTAGCTGCTCCTTGGAGTCAGGAATGCTCTTTTTCCCTCTGTATCTCCAGTGCCTAGAACCCAGAGGGGCCTAGAGATGCTTATTGACTTATATCCACTGTAGACTGTGAGGGGGCAGAGAGGGTGAGCAGGAGGAAATTCAGAACCAATTGGATTTTAGGCAAGAATAATCCATGCTCAGCCTTCAAAGAAAAGCCAGGGGCCTCAGATAAGAGATTGTCTGGCTCCCCTCTCTGGGCTACTCCAATTCTTCAGGCCCATTGGGGGCAGGGAGGGGAACAGTTGCCTGGGTCTTCTCAAAATGTCAAATTGCCATTCGATAGCTAAGCAGTGTCTGAGTTATGCTGTGGGGCTGCACCAAACAGGTCATTCTTGCCCTTTGGGAAATGATATTTGAAGGCCATGTTCCTAGCTACAAGTAATTGAGCAGGCCTGATAGTCACATGCCCATCACCCTCTTGGAAGGGAAAAGTGGAAGAGAATTTTCTTTTTCTTTTCTCTTATTGGTTGTCCTTTGGCAGGTTATAGGTGAAAGGTCGAGATCAGTCAACTCCGGGCAGATAAGGTGTCCCTCCTTAGCTAGAAACCTCTGAAAGAAGACCCAATTCCCCCACCCACATGGTTAGTCTGTCTGTCTCTTGGATGGAATAGGCGAATTAATTCAAATTCAATAATTCAAGAAGCATTTACTAAACACTTATTATGTGCAGAGATGAAAACAAAATTGTCCTTTATGGTACAATTTGTTGACCTATCCTCCAATCACTGGACACTTGGCTTCACTTTCTTTGCTACCATGAAAAGTGCTGCTATAAATAACCTGTCTTTGACTTTTGTGGGGGGGGGGTGCCTTTTACTGGTGTTTCTGGGTCAAAGGGTATGACTAAGTTAGTGATTTTTCTGGTATAATTTCAAATTATTTGCCAGAATGGTTGAAGCAATTGACACATCTACAAAAAGTGCATTCTAGTGCCTGTTTTTCCCCAGCCCCTCCAACAATGACCTGTCTTAAACTTGCTCAACTTTTATAGTCTGAGGGATGTGAGGTAAAACCTCAGGGTTGTTTCAAATTGCATTTCTCTTATTATTAGGTATTTGGTGCATTCTGTCTTATAGTAGTTGAGACTTTGCCTGTTCATATCCTTTGACCTTACATCTAATTTTTACCACTAGCATCCAGGAAATGTTTGAGTCTCTCCAGCATCGATAAACTCACATAGGTCTAGAGCTGCAAACCTTATAGGTTCTCTGGTCTGACTCCCTCACTTTACAGAGGAGAGAAATGAGGCAAAGACATTTGCCCAGGGTTCCACAAGTAATAAGTGGGAAAGTTGGGATTTGAACTCAAGTCCCATGACTCCCAAGGACAACTGTCTGTCACATTAAGTGGTGGCTTATCCAAACTCTGGCTTGAAAACATTCTTTGTGTATGCTCAGGACAGTAAGTCATCTCAGAATCTGAAGCACCAATTCCTCTGCATGATATGTGTGTGTGTGTGTGTGTGTGTGTGTGTGTGTGTGTGTG